GACCTATAATAAACTTAAAAACTGAATTAGGCTGGGCATAGTGGCTCAAACCTGTAATCTTAACACTTTCGGAGGCCAAGGCAGGCAGATCACTTGAGGCCAGGAGTTCGAGACCAGCCTGGTCATCATAGCAAAACCCCATCTCTACTAAAAATACAAAAATTAGCCAGGCGTGGTGGTATGCCTATAGTCCTAGCCACTTGGGAGGCTGAGGCTTGAGAATTGCTTGAACTCAGGAGGCGGAGGTTGCAGTGAGCCGAGATCGTGCAACTGCACTCCAGCCTGGGCAACAGAACAAGACTCTGTTTCAAAAAAATAATAATTGAATTAGTAATTTAAAATATTTCCATAAAGAAAAGTTCAGGCCAAGATGATTTCACTGGCGAAGTCTATAAAATGTTTACAGAAGAGATAGCATCAATTCTTCCCATACTCTTTCAGAAAATAGAAGCCAGTATTCTATTTCAACAAGCAGTATTATCCCGATACCAGAGTCATACAGAGACATGAGAGCTACACGAATATTCTTCATGAACACAGATGTAAAAATTCTTAACCATATTAGCATACTGAATCCAGCCCACCCATAACAATTATAAATTCCAAGTAGAATTTATCCCAGAAATGGAAAGTGGCTTACCATTTGAAATCAGCCTATGTAAGGTACTATTATAAACAATAAAATCATAGAAGAACAATAACTCTATATGATCATTTCAAGATGCTGTAAAAGCATTTGACAGACAGCACTCACTGATAATAAGAAGTCTCAAGAGACTAGGAATAAAAGAGAATTTTTCCAACCTGATAAAGAGCATCTACAGAAACCCACAGCTAATATCTCATTCCATGGTGAAAAGCTAAATGTTTTCTCCCCAAGACTGGTAACAAGGCAAAGAAGTCCTACTCTGACATCTATTCAACATTGTACTAAAGGTTTTAGCCAGTGTGATCAGGTAAGAAAAATAATAGACATCCAGATTGAAAAGGAAGAAATAAAACTGTCTTATCTGACAACCTATATGTAGAAAATCCTAAGGAATGCACACACAAACAAACAAACAAAAAAAACCTACCAAAACTAACAAACGTGTTTAGAAGGTTCACGGGATGCAAGATCAATCTTTTAAAAGGTCAGTCATTTAAAAATCTATTGTATTTCTATATACTGGGAATGAACAACCTAAAAATGAAATTAAGAAATAATTCCTCGGGAGGCCAAGGCGGGTGGATCACGAGGTCAAGAGATTGAGACCATCCTGGTCAACATGGTGAAACCCCGTCTCTACTAAAAATACAAAAAATTAGCTGGGCATGGAGGCGTGTGCCTGTAATCCCAGCTACTCAGGAGACTGAGGCAGGAGAATTGCCTGGACCCAGGAGGTGGAGGTTGCGGTGAGCCGAGATCACGCCATTGCACTCCAGCCTCGGTAACAAGTGAAACTCCATCTCAAAAAAAAAAAAAAGAAAGAATTTCATTTATAGTAGCATAAAAAAGAATAAAATAGTTGGGTATAAATTTAACAAAATAGGTATAAGACTTGTACAATGAAAAGTACAAAAATTGCTGAGAAAAAATAAAGATCTAAATAAATAGACATTTACATATTTATGGTTTGGAAGATTCAGTATTGTCAAGAGGGCAGTTCTCCCCAAAATAGTCTATAAATTCAACACAATTCCTATCCAAATCCCAACAGACTTTTTTTTTTTTTAGAAATTAACAAGCCAATCCTAAAATTTGCATGGAAATGCAGAAGATCTGGAAATAGCCAAACCAATTTTGAGAAAGAACTAACTTTGAGGACTTAGACTGCCTCATTTCAAAACTTATAAATCTGTAGTAATCAACATAATACAATATTGGCACAATATCTACAGGGGTATAGACCAAAAGAACACAATTAAAAGTCTAGGGGAAAAGCCTCATATTGATTGGCAGTTGATTTTCAACAAAGATGCCAAGACAATTGAGTAGGTAAAAGACAGTATTTTATTGCTGAGACAATTAGAAATTCATATGCTGGGGCCAGGTGCAGTAGCTCATGCCTGTAATTCCAACACTGTGGAAGGCTGAGATGGGAGAATCGCTTGAGCCCAGGAGTTCAAGACCTGCCTGAGCAACATGGCAAAACCCCATCTGTACAAAAAGTTAAAAAAAAAAAATTGCTGGCATGGTGATGTGCACCTGTGGTACAGCTGCTACCAGAGAGGCTGAGGTGGGAGGATCGCTTGAGCCCTGGAGGTCAAGGCTGCAGTGAGCCAAGACTATGCCACTATATTTGAGCCTGGGCAACAGACTGAGACCTTGTCTCAAAAAGAAAGAAATTCATATGACCAAAAAAAAAAAGGAAATTAGAACCACACCTCAGACCATACCTAAAAATGAACTCAAAATGGATCATAAGCCTAAGTACAAGGGTTAAACCATAAACTCTTAAAAGAAAAATAGAAGAAAATCTTTATGCTTTGGGGTTAGGCAGAGAGCTCTCAGAAATGGCACCAAAAGCACAGCCATAAAAGAAAAATTGATATATTGGAATTTATAAAAATTAACAATTCCTTTTGAGACGGAGTTTCTCTCTTGTTACCCAGGCTGGAGTGCAATGGCGCGATCTCAGCTCACCGCAACCTCCGCCTCCTGGGTTCAGGCAATTCTCCTGCCTCAGCCTCCTGAGTAGCTGGGATTACAGGCACGCGCCACCATGCCCAGCTAATTTTTCGTATTTTAAGTAGAGACGGGGTTTCACCATGTTGACCAGGATGGTCTCGATCTGTTGACCTCGTGATCCACCCGCCTCGGCCTCCCAAAGTGCTGGGATTACAGGCGTGAGCCACTGCGCCCGGCCTTTTTTTTTTTTTTTGAAACGGAGTTTCGCTTTTGTTACCCTGGCTGGAGTGCAATGGCGCGATCTCAGCTCACCGCAACCTCCGCCTCCTGGGTTCAGGCAATTCTCCTGCCTCAGCCTCTTGAGTAGCTGGGATTACAGGCACTCGCCACCATGCCCAACTAATTTTTTGTATTTTCAGTAGAGACGGGGTTTCACCATGTTGATCAGGATGGTCTCGTTCTCTTGACCTCGTGATCCACCTGCCTTGACCTCCCAAAGTGCTGGGATTACAGGCGTGAGCCACCGCGGCCGGCCAACAATTTCTATACTTTGAAAGATGCTCTTAAGAGAATCAAAAGACAAATGACAAAATGGGAAAAAATATTTGCAAATTATATATATGACAAATGACTTGTATCTAGAACTAAAATAACTCTTAGAATTCAATAAAACAACCCAGTGTAAAAATGGGCAAACAGTACGAGTAGACATTTTGCTTAAGAATATATAAAATGGGCCAATAGGCACATAAGATGCCCAACTTCGTTAGTCACTAGGGAAATGCAAATTAAAAGCACTGTGAGATACCACTAGTGTTATATCCACTACAATAGCTATAATCAAAAAACCAGACAGTACTGCCAGGCACAGTCACATGTGCCTGTAATCCTAGCTACTTGTGAGGCAGGGGTCATGGAGAAGGACAGCTTGACAACAGGAGTTTGAAGTTTGAAGCTAGCATGGGCCCCATTGCAAGACCCCTTTCTCAAAAAAAAAAAAAAAAAAAGGTATCAACTGTTGGTGAGGATGTGGAGAAACTGAAACCCTCATACATTACTGGTGGAAATATAAAATGATACAGCCTCTTTGGAAAGCAGATTGATAATTTCTTAAAAAGTTAGACATAAACTTACTCTATGCCCCTGCAATATCACTCCCTGAAATCTACCCAAGAGAAATTAACATATTTACACACAGAGATGTACATGAATATTCATATGAGCATTATTCATAAGAGCCAAAAACTGGGACAGTACAAATGCCTATCAACTGGAGAATGAATAAAACAAATGTAGTATATCCATACAAATGGATAGTATTCAGCAATAAAACAGGATGAAGCCTTCCTATATGCTTACCACTTGAATGAACTTTGAAAACATTATGTGACCAGGCACAGTGGCTCAAGCCAGTAATCCCAGCACTTTGAGAGGCCAAGAAGGGTAGGATGTTTGAGCTCACGAGTTTGAGATTACTTTAGGCAACATAACAAGACCTCATCTCTACTCAAAATAATTTTAAAAATCAGCCTCAGCATGGTGGTATGTGCCCGTAGTCTCAGCTACTTGGTAGGCTGAGGTGGGAGGATTGCTTGAGCCTGGAAGGTGGAGGCTACAGAGAGCCGAGATCAAGGCTGCAATGAGCTGTGATCACACCACTGCACTTCAGCCTGGGCAACAGAAAGAGGCTCTGTTTCCAAAAAAAAAAAAAACATTATGCTAAGGGAATGATGTCAGACACAAAGAACAATTTGTATGATTCTATTTACATGAAATATCCAGAAAAGGCAGGATTAACCATAAACTGGCACAAGATAACTGTTTGTAAAGATGGAAAGTTTCTAAGACTGGATTGTGCTGGTGGTTGCCCAGCTCTATGAATTCACTAAAAATCACCAAATAATATACTTATTGCAAGTGAGTTTCATGGTATGTAATTTATACTTCATTTTTAAAGGGTTTTTCTCACTTTCTTATGCTTAAATTTTTGAGAGCTCTAAGTCCTTATGCAACAAGGATTGATTTGTTTACATTGTCACATAAGCTCTCTGATTTATGCAATTAATATCCATCTCATAACTAAAGAAATATCTATTTACATATGTACCTTCATTTCACATTTATTCCTTCAACACCTCTTCATGTTTCTCAGTTCCAGCGAAATGGCTTTTGACTCTCCACTGAAGTTCACTATTCATTGTATGTTACTGGTCTTGTGTTTGACAGATATTTTTCAGGATGACATTAACTTTTTGAAACCATGGCATGGAACAATTTTTTATATACTTTTGATGTCTTTTGTTAAATTACTTAATGTAGTTTCTCAATGAAAATAGTCATTTCTGAAATGTACATTGGTTTTAATTATATGTTTTCCTTTTCAAAATAGAATATGCTTCTCTTGGATCACTCTATGATTACATTAACAGTAATAGAAGTGAAGAGATGGATATGGATCATATTATGACCTGGGCCACTGATGTAGCCAAAGGTAATAATGTTTGGTATATTCTTACAGAATTGGTGGGGCACATTTTCCCCTCCTGAAATGGGGACCTAACATCAGAAAATTGTTTATTCTGTCTTAGATGTTCTTTTTGCAGACCAAAAGCAGTAAGAATTCCACAGCTGACTGTACAGATAATATTTTAGGTCATTGCCTTTCCATTCCTAAATTCCTTTTCCCTTTCTGTTTTCTCTACTTTATTTCTTTCCATGAAATCTAGCTGTAGCTTCGGAGCAGATATGTTTGTCATGTTTTGTGATATTGTAATTGACTAGCTTGCTTGACACATTAAATGGAAAAATCATAATTCTGTTGTTATTCTGAAAGTCTCTACTTAGACTCAGTATCCAGAAAACATGATTTATTGTAGGATTAGTTCTACTCATTTTGTATACATAATATGCTAAAAATAGAAGCCGCTTGCAAAAAGAAATTTTCATTTGTCCTGCCATGTAAAAGCAATTCGGATTTTATTTTACATTTCATGTAAACTTAGGCATCACTGTTGGAAATTAAATATTTTTAATACACCAAACCCCTAAACAAGGTGCCCAGTCTTTTTTCTCATGCATTCCTGCATAGATAAATGCTTTCTAAAGCAATTCAAACTCCATTTATTTTTATCTTTTTTTTTTCCATTTTCCTAACTGAACATTTCTGGGCTTTATTTATAACTGTCAGAGTTGCTTTGGAAACAACTTCATCTAAATAATGAACACTGATAGTTATATTTGTATTCTAGCAACCCCTATGAAGTGTGTCTGAATTTTCCTGGAGCAGTGAACTCCTTTACATTTTACTACTCCATTCTCTACAAGCATCTCTTTACAAAGCAAATGTAATGTGATTTAGAACTCAGTAAGGAGAGCAACTCATATGTCGATTTCACTGTATGACTTCCAAAAGTAGTAGTCTTTCCTTTGGAGGATTGTCTATTTTAAGTTTCATCAACACCTGCCAAATTCTCCAAATAGGGAAAGTAAAAAAACTTTTTTTTTAGTTTCATGCTAGATGCTGCTGCTGACTGATGCCTCATTACATTATAAAAATAATAAGCTCTGTGTTTAGGGTGGTGTACCTGAGACTTTGGCTATGTTAATTAGCTTAACTGTGTGTCGATGTATCAGGCATCTCAAATCATGCTTAAACTTTCATATTCTTAAAGATGTTATCATATAGCATCATAGTGATTTCTCTGCATGTCAGTAGTACACTAAGACCACCTCTTTGTAAACAAGGTGATGTGCTGTGATTGGGAGCTGCCTGTAGCATTGTGGAAATACCCTTAAATAATGTAAATGCATGTATAAGTAGTCCTTAACTTACAGCACATCACCTTATACTCATATGCATTTAGGGTGCTCAGCCAGTTACACCGATGTTATTACTTATTGGCACTTAGAATAGCAAACAAATCAGCTAACATCAGTCACTCTGCTTCCTGCTGTGCTCTACTTAAGCATCCTTGGTTCCCAGCCTGGGAACCTTTTCTCCCTGCACCCCCTTAAGCACATGCCACATCATCTTGACTAAGGGGTAAGTCTCTTGGCTCCACATTAGCTGAGTCATTCTTGATGTTTTCTCAAGAGTGCTAGTGCTCTGCATCAGAAGGGCAAAGAAGAGAAGGAATAGAATTAGGTAGCAAACTGGGCTGAGTGCAGTGGCTCACATCTATAATCCCAGCACTTTGGGATGCTGAGGCAAGTCTATCACTTGAGGCTAGGAGTTTGAGATCAGCCTGGCAAACATGGCAAAACCCATCTCTACTAAATATACAAAAAATTAGCTGGGCGTGGTGATGCACTACTCACCTGTAGTCCCAACTACTTAGGAGGCTGAGGCACAAGAATCATTCAAACCCCAGAGGTTTGCAGTGAGCCAGCATCAAGCCACTGCACTCCAGCCAGAGTGAGACCCGGTCTAGGTTAAAAAAAAAAAAAAAAAAAAAAATTAGGTAGCAAACTGGAACAAGAGTTAAAAATAGGGAAGGAGAGGCTGGGCATGATGGCTCACGCCTGTAATCCCAACACTTTGGGAGGCCGAGGCAGGCGGATCACCTGAGGTTGGGAGTTCGAGACCAGCCTGACCAACATGGAGAAACCCTGTCTCTACTAAAACTACAAAATTAGCCTGACGTGGTGGCGCATGCCTGTAATCCCAGCTACTCGGGAGGCTAAGGCAGGAGAATCTCTTGATTCGAGGTTTCAGTGAACCAAGATCATGCCATTGCACTCCAGCCTGGGCAACAAGAATGAAACTTTGTCTCAAGCAATGAAAAAAAAAATAGGGAAGGAGAGAATGGGAATGGACCCCCTGATGGTGTCCAAAACTACCAATTAATAAAATCCCTTTTGCCTGTCTAGCTAACGTGTTTGACCTCAGGTGAGACGAGTGAGGCAGAGAAGAGGCTTGTGTGTTTATGGACACAAGTAATACTTAACATTTTAAAAAATCCTTTAAGATGGCCCATAAAAAAAAATAAATCAATGCTTTAGGAATGACTTCAGCTTTCTCTGATAAAGCTGTTTGTAGAATTTAGAATTTAAGAGATTAAGTAGGAAGGCTTGATTTTTGTTGATTCTGTTTCAAATTCAGCTATGTGCCTTTCAGTTTGACCTATGATTAAAGCCACTGGAGCAATGACATGTTGAGAAATCAAAGAATGAATAGTTCATTTTAAATAAGGGTTGATTCGTGCATTTTCAAATAGGCATTGCTCAGCATCATTGCTGTTGAGACAATGTCTCCTCAAAGCAAAAAAGATTCTCAAAAAGATTCTCTTCTTTTTAGTTGTGAGGATAAATGGAGGGTGGACCAGCAAGAATATCTGAAATTGCTGAAAGTCAATCAGCAATGCTTAAAAGGAGCAATTAAAGCAGATAAACTCAATGCAGTCTCCAAATGGTCACCATTCATTCCAATTTTCCCCAAAAGTCTTCTCAGTTACACCTGTCAACTCTTTTTTTTTTTTTTTTTTTAGGAAACCCTGAATGTATACCTTATGAAAGTATTTTTCAGCCTTCTTAATTGTTTGCAATAAAAATAAGGCAGAATTATAACTCATTCTACAAAAACATTAAATAGAATTTTATGTGAGTGTGATGACTATTGTTTATGTGTATGAAATATTATTTAAATGTATACTATGCATTGTACACAAATACTTTATGGTACTTTTTTCTTATGATAATCTGCCATGCAGAAGAAAAGTACCTATATTTAGAGCTTTTGTATTTGAGTCTTGTGTTTTGAAATCTTTACTTTTCAGCAGATGTAGAAACTATCTATTTCTACCTGTAATAGTAATTACTCAGATTCAACCTGAAAAATTAAGGAATTTGATTCTAAAGCAAGAGAGCAGTAACTATGAAATCTAGTTACATGAATTATTAAATGCCACCCAAGCTGTAGCTATTGAATTTTCGCAGTTTAAGGGATGTAGAACTTCATATCAGAAGAAATTTCCTTTATTTAAGATTACATAAATTACTAATACTTGTGTTAACTTGACTCTTTTCAGTGATATCATTATATGGCGAGAGTTTAAATTTTTTTATTTTCCTTGTCCTCTCACGATTCTTCAATATATAGTAATTAAAATAGAAGAATAAGAGATTTAGAAATTAACCTCTATAAAATTAAAACGTTCTATACGCTTTAAAAAGCCAAAACCCCTTATTAAATTATTTTCAATGCATTGTTCATTTGAAAAAGAAGCCTGTTCAATTTGGAGGTGGGGGTGGTAGCTATTTCTGCCATTATTTAGAAAAGACAACTTGAGAAATAAAGAGGATATATTTTAGTAGGAAATTATCCCTTATTTTCCTAAAGGGGTAGACAATGCATAAATACAGAAAGAGTCAAAAACTATAAAGGTGGTAACCGTAAAATATGTATTTTAAAGTATAATTTTTTTTTTAAATTTTTTATTGGATTATAGGTTTTGGGGTACATGAGCAGAGCATGCAAGACAGTTGCGTAGGTACACACATGGCAGTGTGCTTTGCTTTTCTTCTCCCCTTCACCCACATTTGGCATTTCTCCCCAGGCTATCCCTCCCCACCTCCCCCTCCCACTGGCCCTCCCCTTTTCCCCCCAATAGACCCCAGTGTTTAGTACTCCCCTTTCTGTGTCCATGTGTTCTCATTTTTCATCACCCACCTATGAGTGAGAATATGCGGTGTTTCATTTTCTGTTCTTGTGTCAGTTTGCTGAGGATGATGTTCTCCAGATTCATCCATGTCCCTACAAACGACACGAACTCATCATTTCTGATTGCTGCATAATATTCCATGGTATATATGTGCCACATTTTTCCAATCCAGTCTATTATCAATGGGCATTTGGGTTGATTCCAGGTCTTTGCTATTGTAAACAGTGCTGCAATGAACATTCGTGTACATGTGTCCTTATAGTAGAACGATTTATAGTCTTTTGGATATATACCCAGTAATGGGATTGCTGGGTCAAATGGAATTTCTATTTCTAAGGCCTTGAGGAATCGCCACACTGTCTTCCACAATGGTTGAACTAATTTACACTCCCACCAACAGTGTAAAAGTGTTCCTTTTTCTCCACATCCTCTCCAGCATCTGTTGTCTCCAGATTTTTTAATGATCGCCATTCTAACTGGCGTGAGATGGTATCTCAATGTGGTTTTGATTTGCATCTCTCTGATGACCAGTGACGATGAGCATTTTTTCATATGATTGTTGGCCTCATATATGTCTTCTTTCGAAAAGTATCTGCTCATATCCTTTGCCCACTTTTGAATGGGCTTGTTTGTTTTTTTCCTGTAAATCTGCTTGAGTTCTTTGTAAATTCTGGATATCAGCCCTTTGTCAGATGGGTAGACTGCGAAAATTTTTTCCCATTCTGTTGGTTACCGATCCACTCTAGTGACTGTTTCTTTTGCTGTGCAGAAGCTGTGGAGTTTCATTAGGTCCCATTTGTCTATTTTGGCTTTTGTTGCCAATGCTTTTGGT